CATTTTGTTTGAAATGTGTGCACGGTCAGGGTCACGTGATGGTATGGTTCAACATCAAAACCCAAACAATAGGCCGATCCTTTGAAGTTTTTCGGGTTTCCTAACCAGTCCCCTCTACTAACTATGCTAAAGTTAAGTCATTCAGCTCCGGGCTAATCTGAATTAGCTAAGATTTTTAAACGTGTTTGGCAGTATATTTGTTTTATGCTAACTATAAAAAACCAGCTTTATAAAATGTGATTTAATTTTCCTCCCTTGAGAAGCATTTAAGGCTAATAAATTACCATAATAAAATTAGAAACTAGATGATAAATGTTTCGGATACCAAAACAAGTTGAGAGTGATACAAATAATATCAAACTTAGTTCGTTTTTCCATTTTTTCAGGGTGTCGGAGAACCTCCCTTAATTCTTGCAGCTTCGGTGTTTTATGCTATTAAAGACGCCATTTCAAACGCCAGGTCAGTCTAAGTAACAACACAGAGGTGAATCACATGGTGTTCATGGGGAGCTGAGAGGGAGGAGTTCAGTCGTTGCTGACAATATATAAAGGGGGCTATAGAAAATTGACTGAAAATTAGGGGGTCATTAGAATAATTTAGAGCCTTGGAGAGGGGGAGGGGGAAATCAGGTACATTTAACTGTGACACCACCCCAAACGTTAAATAACGAACAGTCCCTAAATCGAAATAATAAAAGAGAAACTTGAAAAAGATAAAAGTTTCTAGGGCCATAGCATAAATACCATCTCCTCTAAAATTAAGTTACCTTCTATTTTCCTTTTACATTAAATATTTTTAATAGCAGTTCTTGTACATATTTGTGGTAGTGGCATATTTCACGTATCAAGCGTTTATTACCTCCCCAGGCTGGAATCAGGCATTGAAGGAATCTTTCGTCTTGACAGTCCTGCTACAAGTGAGCGAATCAGAATGGCTTGTGTTGATCAATTTGTCCAACAAGTAAGTGGTTGAGAAAGTTTCCAACTAGTTTTGCATCTTAACTAGCTAACCTTTTACAGTGAAACTGCCGGCTGGGTGGTCGGAAGTGTAGGTGTCTTATTAGGACGAAATACCACTATAAGCTCGTCTTCGTTTTTTCGACCAGCCTTGTTTGAATTAGAGTAAATTGATTAGGCGATAATTTCTATTGTCCCACCCCTTCCACTCTTTTTTATTTTGACCGCCGCCCACCCTTTTGGTACCTCCTGGTAGAATCACTCATTGAAATGAGGCGGGGGGACATGATCATCCTCAAGGTCCAAGGTACTGTTGTTTTATTTTTGTATTTCAGACTAAATCTTCTGCAGATCTGAATGTGGACGATTTCAACGTGTACC